CTGCGGGGCAGCCAGAAAGGGGCCGCGAGTGCCTGTTTTTGGCAGAAATGAGCCCAATTCGCAGCTGTTCTTGTCCTTGCGTTAGGGTGTGTCTCCCCGCATTTCCCCTGCCTTCCAGCACAAGCCCCGTCCCCCTCCTGGCATTTCTGGCACCGCGGTGGCACCCAGGGTGGTGGCACGGTTGGGTGCGTTGTCCTGCTCCCCGGAGCCTCTGGCCTCCCGCGGCCATCCCTGCACCCTGGAAGAAGCCCAGACTGCTGTACACCCAGCCCGTTGTTATCCAAAACACAGCCCGGGGTTTTGCAAAGCTCAGCCGACATCATCTTGTGGTTTGAGGAGTGTGGCCTCCAGAGGTACGAAACGGTGCAGTAGCAACAATTGGGCAGGGAGCGAGCGCATGCGGCGAGGCAGGTCCTTATCTAGGTAGGAAAGATCTAAAATCCCTAATGTAGTAACCGTGTTACTCACTGCCTTAATTAACGAGGCGCAGAGCTGCCTTGCCGTGCCTGTGGTTTGCAGGAGAGGCTTCATCCTCGTTCCTGCTGGCTTTGCATGCGGCAGGGCACGTCAACGTGTGGCTTATGCCACATCACGTGTTTCTAGAGCTTTCCATAGGTTTTGCGCCTTGTGGTTCGCACACCTGAGCCTCACCAAGCTCCTCTTCCCGCTCGCCCGGTGCCCCAGCAGCTGCTTTCCCAGCCCTGCGACACGGAGACTGTCGGCTTGAAGAGCTCTTCTCCCTCCATCGGCAGCTTTCCATAGGCAATCCCGCCTGTCCGATAACCGAAGTGAATAAAAGGTCACTCAAGAAATATCACAGAGGCTTTTTTTTGTGACAGCACAGATGCCCATTTATATTTTATTTGCCTCCTGGGTGTGGCACCGTGTCTCAGTTTAATAGGTTTAGCCGTGCTTGGGGAGATTTTTCTTTTCTTTCCCTCTGACATGATTAGGTTTGCTGAAACCAGAGCCAAGCGGAGAGGAGATGCGGTGCTTAATCACCGTTATTTCCCAGTCCAGCGGTTCAGCCTGCCCTTTGCCAGGAAAAGATGTGTTCTGGAGCGCTCTTTGTATCCTAGTGTGAGCATCGCATCTCCTGCAGCCCCGAGGAGTTAAAATGCAGTTACCTGCCCCAACTAGGGCGAGCGCTGAAGTGCAACAGGCTAACTGGGAAATGTCCTGTAACAAATACGCCTAGAGAGTTCGGATTGCTCGGGAAATAACGTTAAAAGCATGGCTGATGGGCACAGCGACAGCGAGCGCAAGCTTTTGGAGTTCTCTGGCAAATCTCCTGTCCCCCCCAAAACCTAATGGGGGATCCATCTAGGAGAGAAAAGACCAAGCGGTAGGAAAGGTGGTGGTTTTCTTTCTTGGCGCACATCGGTTCTGTTGATTTTGTACCGTCACATTATGCTGGGGTGTGGGAGCATTTCTGGTCACCCCAGCTGAACGCTGTCCCCAAAAACGGGGCAGGGGAAGTCCTTTTTGCTGCTGGGGTTTGCAGAGCAATGCTCGGAGTCCTGCCTCTGCCCAGTTCAAGTTAAGAGTCACTGGATCTTGGCTCTGAGATATAAAACATAAAAATATTACTTAGCGAGAGCAATACTTCCTTTCCTTTTAAGGACAGGAAAGAGGAATTGAGTTTCCTCCGCCTCAGTCCCGTGTCAGCGCTGGGAAGCGGCTGCACCGCTCTCCGCTGCTGCCATCCAAGTTGATTTCCCAAAGAAAAAAAATCCCACTTTCGTATTTGTCGCTATTTCCTTTGTGTGGAGAGGGCTCTGTTGTGTCTCCAGTGTCTGCGGAGGGTTTATTCCCCTTGTAGATAAAAGACACTGGAAAGACGGGGACACCAGCACGGGCTCTGCTCCCTGGAGCTGCTGCGAGCCCAGTGGGATTTGTTGGGTCACAGGCAGCGAGTGGCAGCGGTGGGACCAAGGATTCGAGCGTCCCAGCCCCGTGAAACGTGTCTGTCATTGGCAAAACCAGCCAGGGAGGCGGTTTTGGGTGGGAAAAGTTCGGGGATGGTCCTGTGGCACGAACTGGGTTGTTGCTGGATGGGGTGTGGGGAAAGCACAGGGGCTTTTCTTGGTGGGACAGCGGGCAGCTGCCTAGTTTGGCAATCCCTGCCTGCACTTACACCGGGAGAGGATGTTCCTGGGATAACCGCCATGCTCTAACATGCTCTAACTAAGAATTTGGTTTTAGGTGTTATATGGAGTGCAATAATGGCATGCTCTGCTTGGGGCCCTGTGCTCTGCCATCTGCAGAGCCTCCCTCCGGCCCCTAATCAGATTACAGCCTAAGTACCACGCCTGATTAGCCCCAGGTTTGGCAGAAGGATTTTCCAGCACCTAAATACGGAGCAGGGATCTACTATTTCTCATCTGACACCTTTCAGACTAGGAAGCAAGGCCATGCAGTGGAGGAATTGCAAACCACA